GCTGGAGATCCTGGAGTACAACTTCTGCAAGGTGAACAAGCATCCTGACCCCACCACGCTGTGCCTCATCGCGGCCGAGACCGGGCTCTCCGAGGAGCAGACCCTGGTGAGTGTGCATCCCTCGCCCCTGCCTTGGCACCAGCCCTGCTCCCCCTGCATGCCTCTGTGCCCCACACTCCCCCCACATCTCCTGCCTGTCCTGTCCCTGGCTGGCTGTCATACCCCCTGCTCCCTTCTGTCCCACCACGTACTCCCTACTGCACCCCCTGCACCTCTCATGTTCCCCTTGCACCCCTCTACACCCCATGCGCTCCCTACTTGCACTCCCTGCACCACTCTTTACACCACATACTCCTTACTGCACCCCACACTGCACCCACAAGTGTCCTCTGCAACTCTGCAACCTCCAGTGCACCCCCAACCCCACTCTGCACCTACAGAGCTCCTCTGCACCGCTGCACCTCCCTGTACCCCACATCTTCCCTACCCCCCACATGTTCCTGCCCCAAAGCCCCAAAGCCCCTTCCCCTGTAATCGTAGCCCCTTCATCCCACAGCCACCTGTGTAGCACACGTGCTGTGGGATGTGCTCAGGCTGTGCACGCTCCCCCTCACTATGATTAGCTAATTCAGCGCTCCCAAGCCTAGATATTGGGCAAGCCTGTCAGCCTGTCCAGGAGACACAGAGGCCTCCAAATGTCCCACCACAGGGACAAGGTGCCACTGTCTGGGGCTCCCACCAAGCCCTGTGCTCTGTTTGGCTACCTGCAGGCTACCCCGGACTTCGAAAGCAAAGAGCTCCTTCCCAATTCCTTCAGGCTGCAGTGCAGCCGTTTTTGGTGCAGGTGTTTTATAAGCTACTAGACCCACAGCAGCATTTATGGGTATGGGAAAGAAATCCAGCCCACTGAAAAGTTAGCAGCATTTTGCCAAGAGCTGCCGAGACAGCCTCTCCCTGGGCAAAGCCAAAGGGATGTGAGAGCTGAGCAGGGAATGCCAACGTTTATCCTGTCCCAGGGAAGGATGCTGGTATAACATCCATTGCACTGACAGTCCTTGGCTGGAGTGGGAAAGGAGACCCCTCTTCTACTGTGCTTTGGTGACAGGCAGGCACCACTGCTTGTTTGAGGCAGCAAGGCAGCGGTACCCCTGAAATACCTTTTCCTCCTTAGAAATGGTGCTGCTCCATTTTTTTTTTGCCTAAAGCAAGTTGTAAGCACAGGCCATATATGCCTAGGACACCTTTGGAGATGTCTTAAAATCTTCCTTGATAGTCATCTTTTTCCACGAATGCAGGGTGCTCCTGGAGATCTGGAGATGAAGGTCACGTTAGGGACAGGATTGAGATGGGGATGGTGAGCTGCAAAGTGCCTGCATTGGGTATGACACAGAGCATCATCGCTCCTGACATCTGGAGTGCTTTATTGGCTAGATATAGCAGCCATTTTAATAAAAAACTTAGTAAAAATGAGATGCAAAGAGGTACTGAGTCAACAGGAGATGATGGTTTAAGATAGGAAGTGAAATTTTTGGGAGGAGGCTAGGCAGGCAATCATCTGACTGCATGTGTTCTAAGGCAGTGCTAGTGCGAGAGAACCACTTGTAGAGAGCACTGTGGTTGTATCATCACAGACCACAATAGCTTCAAAAATAGCCCTGAACAAATATAGCAACAAAATGAGCAGCAATAAAGCAGATCACAGGCACATTCCAAAACAAAAGGCTGAGCTGTGCTTCCGGCACATAGGAGTTGTATCTTCTTATGGAGGCAGTGTGGCTTTATCCAGCTGCATCTTATCTAACACTTGAAATCGAAGTTGTGTTGAAGTGGCATCAGCAGCTCTGGGAGTTGGCTTAGAGATGCTAAGTTACTACAGAATAATGTAGCCATGTGTATTGCTTGAAGGCTAAGATCATTTCTAACCCATTTTTTAAACCTATTTGTTTTTAAATTTGCTGAGAGCCACTGTGTTGTCCCACTCATGCTGAAGCAGTTAACTTTCGGTTCCTGTTGCTTTTGGACCTGTAGTGACTGTTTCACTGCTCCAGCCATTTCAACAGACACTTTAGCCAATCTCTTAACTCTTTTTGCAAGAAAAACCTGGGCTCACAGCAATAAAATGAGGACTCACCCATGCTGTCAAGGTCTGAAGCGAGCAAGAGAAAGGAGTTTGAAAGAGATGCACACATGGGTAACAAGACCGTTTGGTCACGAGCGGGTGTCCTGCTGCCAGGGAACAGTGCAGCACCTTGCTAGAAGAGAGCAGTGCCATCGCCTTCCCTCGCCTGGTCCCTGCTGGCCTGCTGACCAGGTGATGTCTGCACCTTTAGCAAAGTGTTTGCTCAGTCCAGTGCACTCAGTCTGTCTTTTTTTTTTTTTTTTTTCTCCAGAAATGGTTCAAGCAGCGCCTGGCAGAGTGGAGGAAGTCTGAAGGGCTGCCCTCAGAAAGTGGGTCTGTCAGGGACTAGAGGATGCTGCTCCGATCCCCATGCCTGCTGTAAATGATGATGAAGCTCTTCAGAGTGGGGTTCTTCTGCTGCAATATGTTTTGAGATACAAAGTAATACCCTGCTATTTAACATAAGTTTTATTTAAAGTGTACATAACCAGGAAAAAATATTATATATATATGTGTATACAGCTTCTGATGGCTGCGTAACCTGTCTAATGAATCCTATCCCTCAACAGCAGCTGCACAGGGCAAGGCAATCTTACGCCCTTGTCCCAGGCTTGCAGAAAAGCTGTCTTGAAAGGTTCAAACATAGAAGCAAGGAAAAAAGATTTCTTATCCTTATGATCCCCACAGGCAAAGTATGTGTGCTAGCTTTAATATACAGATCATCCAGAGAGGAGGGCACCTGAAAAACCAGATGTAGTGTTCAGGTGATCTTGGTTAGCTCAAGATACCTGAGTCATCTCTGGATATTGGCAAACCAAGTGCCTACACCATAATCAGACCAAACCAAGCCCTCCTTGAATGCCTTTCTCACATTTCTGTTAAAGGTCACCAAAGGGAAAGAACTGGTCTTTTTTTTTTTTCCAATGCATTAATAAAAAACCAGAGTTTTATGATGAGAAGAGCTGTGTTATGTCACTGCTTGTGCTCCCTGCCCCCATGGCAGGAGGCAGACTCCCTCCTCTGGGAGGGCAATGCTTCTCCAAGGCAACCTCAGTGGGCACTGTGGGTTTTCCCTCTTGCCACAGGGATAGCCCACAGCCATGGGAAACCTCCTTTTCTTAGGCACAAATGGGTCCATCCCTGGCAGCCCACGCAGTCCCACACTCACCCCAAGCCCCAGAGTGGCAGGGGCTGGTGCTGGGGTTCCCTTGCAGGGTGTGGGGGGGCAGATCCCACCTCCTTCTGGCCATTCTCAAGCCTGAGGCACGCAGCTGCACTAGGGCTTTTGCACAAAGCCCCAGCTCTCATCCGTCCTGGTACAGGACAACACATGGGCTAAAAAATAACTAGCACCGTTGCCCAGTGTCCTTACCTTCTTTGAAAGGGTTCAAAAGTCCTCTGCTTAGTGGATTATTGAACCAATTAGCGGATCCTCTGATTAATCCTCTCTGGTTTGTGGTCACCTGCCTCTGCTCCTTTGGAAGGAGAATCAGCTTAACACAGGGAAGATTAAGATACAGTCGGATTGAAACTGCCACATGCTTTCATTTATGACTCTTGTCCCTTGCTGGAGAGCAACTCTCTTGCCTCAGTACCTCCATCCCACTGCCAGCGGTTAGGTTGCCAGTGCAAAGCATGCCAAACTCCTAGAAAACAGATAAAAGCAATCTCCCTGTGCCATGTCCTTCACAGGTTGTGGTGTTCCCCTGCAGTCCAGCTGCCAAACTGACTCACCCTCAGACCCAACTGGAGCTCAGAGTTTGTTCTGCAGAGTCTGGCACCAATATCTGTTTTCTTCTTAGTCTTTGCAGCATGCCTTCTCCCTTACGCTGAGAGGAACTCTGCTTTTTTTGAGTTAGGATCCAAAAATCCCAAGGCAGAGCTCCATTATTTTGCCCAGGGTCACACGACTGAATATCTGAACCACACAGATTTAACCCTCCTGTGTAACTTGTAGCAAAGATGCACGCAAAGCAAAAGGCTGGATCTGCCCATTCTCCAGGCATTTGAGAAAACAGGCCCCACATCCAAGCCAACTCAATGCACATGCTGCCTCAGCATTTCCAAAGCCTGTACTAAAGCTTTGCACCTTATCAATTGGCGCAGGAGTTTTGCAGCCTGTTGTGTTTCTGCTTCTGTCACAAGCACAAAACTTTCAGCATCATTAAGATCACTCAACTTTAGCAAAAATTTTGAAACCCAAGGTCAGTTGTTGTGTTGCATCAACCTACTGCGAGCCATCAGCTTGCCACACTTCTTTATGTGAAAGAACAGTTCCTGTGCTGGCTTCCCCCACCAGTTGTTTCATTACTACTTTAACTATTATAGTGAAAAAACAAGACGAGTGATAAACTCCAGACATAACCCATCCTAGGGAGACAGGCTTCCCACATTAAGTCAAGTTCTGCTCACTTCCCCTGGTGACTATTTTGTTCTTAAGGAACAACTATTTTATTTAACTCCTCAGATAAGCCCAGTAAAAGTGGCTGCTCGTAAGAAAGTTGTCCTGCTGGGTGCTGCCTCTGCACCGTGTTCAAGCAGGTTTCCCAGCCACAGCACAGCTCAGAGAGGGTGATGTTCCAAGGGGTGATGGGGTGCAGCTGGCATGAGCAGCGGGTAGTGTTTCCGAGGGAGTTCAGCGCTTAATCGGACGAGCCAGGTCTTGGATCCGAGCAGAACAAGTTGCCTTCTTAGCAGCCTCCTTCACTGTGAACGCATCTGGGTTGAACTGAGCCAAGTTCATAGGAGGCCTAGGGGAGTGAGGACAGAGCTGGTCAATTCGAGCAGAGCAGGGCCAGCTCTCCCAGCTGCCTACCAGCTCACACACCTCCACCTGAGCCCTGCCTGCCCTTCTCTATCAAGGAAGGACAAAAGCAGTCATGCCTTCACTGCTGTCACCAGAACACTAGTGAGAGGGGCTGCTTCATCTCTCCCTGAAGCTGTCACAGCTGCTACAGCCAGGCATTTCCTCACTCTCCATGAAATGTCCTACCCGGCATTTCGTGTAGCCCGGGCTGAGGTCAGCTGCATCATGCTGGGCAACATGAATGTGCTACACTGTACCATGTGTCAACTGGTTACTTTTTAGTCAATAATTAAGAAGTCCCAACCAGTAATT